AGCTGCTGCATTGTAAATTTTGGTCAATGACATGAGACAAAGTATATGTGAACTGCTGTATGAAAAGTGAATTTACTCTGTAAATCTTCACCCAAATCCAAAAAAAAAAACATTCCAATTCTCTGATTAAATTCTTCTTAATAAAGTTTTGTTTCTTATATTCTTTTATTTACTTTAAACTACCATAAATCATCATTTAATATGTAATCATAGGGAAAAATGACAATTTTTGTTGAAGTTTTGTGACATCTTAGATTTTAATATTCTGACAACTAGCCCTTGCTGTCTTTTTCCTTTCCAAAAAAATATATAAATTGAAACAAGTAAAAGGGATTTACTATAAGGATCCATCTCTTGGCACTCCACTTTATTACCCACCTGTGACTGAGATTTTTCATAAAGGAAAAAATACATTTCAAAAAGAATAGTTCAACAAGTTAAAATCACTTAGTCTGCTGTAATTATATACTCATAATTATTTTGATTACAACTCTCTTAACTATACATTTTTGCAGGTAAATTAACACAGATACATAATTTCAAGATACTAAACATTTAAATACATTCATTTATACTCCAAAAAAGCAGTTAAAATATATGTATCCATTTGTCATGTAGGGTGTAAAGTTTTTTTAAAACAATGCAAGCTTTTAATTTTTAATTATAACCAGTAATCAAAATCAATGCTCTGTGTTACTGGGTTTGAGGTTCTTTGAAATCCTAGATAATAAACGTAATCATGGGAAATTCAAAAGTAAATAAGAGGTTTTTAGAACATTTATTAATATAAAAAATCCCTAACAGTTATTTGATACATGTTAATTTTTTGCGAACAAGAATATTCAAATCAACTAATTTCCTAAGACTGCAAATGCCTTAGTCACTATGCCACCAGAGCTCCTTTATTACATGTAAGTGATGCAATTCTTTTCACTAATTCCTTTGACAGATGTCTTCCCCCTCCACATTTACTGATATTTTCATTTTAAATTTTGGAAAGGTATGTAGAGTTGGTCAAACGAAGAAACAGAGTGGGGAAAGTAATAGCTGGGGCATCTGTCTTTTAATGTTCTATAAGCCTTCAGCAACTACTATTCATATCTAAAAGTCTCAAGTCTATTTACTGGGGCCCACCAACTTACCCAAAGTTATGCAGCTATTTTTAGCAAAAAGAGAATATAGGTATCTAACATTCTTACTGTCGTTGACAATTCTTTAAAATCCTAAAATGTAACAACGAGAGCAAGAAATGTTTTTGATTAAAATACTAAGAATTTAAAAAAATGAAAGAAAAAAAGGGAAAAAATACTAACAATATCAGCATATTTAATGAAATCAGTCAAAATGATTTATAAAGGGGTGGCCCAGCCTTCATGCTCTCCATTCCCACCAAAAGACGAATTTTTGATCTCTGGTTTAATTTTGCAACATTGGTAACATGCCCCGGCCTCTTCCTTGAGTTCTAGTTGTCAGTCATCCATTTTCTAGCACTCTCTGCTTTTGTCTGACTTTTTCCAGACTCTCTATAATCTGTAGTTTGAAGATCTTAAGGTTTAACTGCAATCTAGAGCTTCCTATCCCAGCCTCTAATGAACAGTTCCAGCCCTATGGCTGCCCACTTTTGTTTAGTACAAGGTTGGGCTTAAGTACCTTTGGTCCAAAGGAAGAAGGACCATGCAACTGGTGCACCCCAAATCACTGCTCAAGGGACTCCCCTCAGGAATGGAGGTGTTCTGGAACCTCAAATGCCCCCAAAGAGCCACTCCTCATGTGGTTCCTGGATGAGCAGGGCACAGACAACCTTCAGGAAGTAGGATGGAGAAACATATAAGGAGGAATGTGCAGAAGAGGCAGCAGGTGTAGTCAGTGCTTCTATACAGTCCCACCTACCCCAGTCGCTGGCAACTAGCCAGGAACTGTTTGCTATTCTCTTCCTTAGTCAAGAACAAGCCATATTCTAGTTTTTTTAAAAAAATCCATGTTTCACAGAAGAACCTTCTTGCTGTAGCCACTTCCATCTAGATCTTTGTGTACAGCCGAGAACCTCAATTACACTCTTAAATCTCCTAACGGTCTTTTGCTGAAAGTGATAAATGTGGTTTCAGATAGGTTTTTCTTTTTTTTTTAAAAAAAAGAATGATATGAACTATGGGAAAAAAAAATTTTCCTTTTCTCAAAAGTAGGGTAGAGTGAGCATTGTTATATTAGACTTAATGTCAGACTTTTAAGTTAATTTTATAATTAATATTTAGTCATCATCACTATATAGAAAAACCTCAGAATTTTGAATGTACTCTTCATAAAAGCATCTCCTTTATGAGTTTTTTTCCCTCTTTGGTAGGGAATAATGTAAGGGGTGAAATCTTTAAAATGAGCTAATTGTTTTAGTGAGGATTCCTAAATGTACATTCCTTTTTAACCTTTACATTCAAATTCTCTACACATTTAATAATAGAAATGCACAATTTCCATACTCACTGACTTTTGTATGGCATACCTTACGAAACATATTTTAAAGACCGTAACTCAAAGGATACAATGATATGTCGATCAGATGGGTTTCGCTGACGTGTCCTTTCTAACTGGGTTAACTGCTTAGCTTCTCGATTCCTCGCTGTTAACGTTGCTTTGAGGTCATCCTGCAGATAGGCATTTTTTGTCAATATAAGTTTCTAATTTAAGTACATGCTGGTGGGACTGTCAAATGATACAACCACTATGGAAAGCAGTATGGCAATTCCTTAAAAAGCTGGAATTAGAAATACCATTTGACCCAGCAATCCCATTACCAGATATACATCCTAAAGAAGTGAGAGCCAGGATAAGAACAGATATATGCACACCCATGTTCATTGCAGCACCATTCACAACAGCAAAAAGATGGAAACAACCTAGGTGTCCATCAATAAAAGAACAGATAACCAAACTATGATACATACATACAATGGAATACTAGGCAACCCAAAATAATGTAGAATCTGCAAAACACCGCATAACATGGATGAACTTGGAGGACATTATGTTGAGTGAAATAAGTCAATCACAGAAGGACAGATATTGTATTACTCCATTATTGTAAAAAGTCAAGGATTGGTTTATATATGGAAGGAAATTTTCTTTGTTGGTTACCAGGGGTGTGAGCGGAGGGGAGGGAATACTGCTAGATAGGTAGAGACAAGTATTGATTTTGGTGAAGGGAAGGGCAATGCACCAAATGTGAGTGATCAACACGGTGGCACTGAGTAAGAGGAAGACATAGAGAGGTACATGGGAGGTACAGACAACAAAGATGAACCCTTTTGCACATATACTACTGCGTTGTCAGTGATGGCAAACATTGATCTATGGGTGGATAGATGGGTGGACAGGCTGAACAATTAGGTATGTCTATGCAGGGGGGAGATTACCCATTACCACGTATAGGGTTGGCAGACCATGTGTCTACAAATACATTTTTATGTTCTGTAAGAATTTCCAGGTATATAGTAGAGCTGACAAGAGACAAGGTTGTCACTTCTTGGCCACAGCCAGCTACCCAGAGGGGGAAAGTAGTTGGACCTGTGGGCTCAGGACCATAGTCACAGAGGACATTAAGCTCCACTGGCATAACACACTACACAAAAACATTGTTCCACATCCTAGTTTGGCAAGTAGAGACTTAAAATCTTGCAAGCAGCCATCTATATGCAACGATGCGTCTCTCCACATCCAGAGCAAAGAAGAATGAAGAAAACCAAAGAAACATGGAAACAGTTAGTTTAAGGGACTGATACACCGTGCGATCCTCAGCCTACATGATTATGAGACCAGAAGAACTAGATGGTGCTGGGCTACCACTGTCGATCACTCGGAGGGAAATCTATGTAGGAGATCCTGGATAGAGTGGGAGAACAATGTGCAACAAAACTCAAAATCATAAAAAAAAAGGGACCAGGTTTGCTGGTCTGATAGAACCTGGTGGACTCCTTGAGACTATGGCCCCTAGCTGACCTTCAGGTCTGGAAATGAATGTACTCCTGTGGATTCCAGATAAATAAGAAACAGACACATGAGCCGAACGTTCACATTAGGTAGATACACTTGGAAAAATCAATCATGGGAGAACAGAAGGGCTGTATACGTACGCACAGGGAGACAGCTCAGGGGGCAGGAGTACATGGGACAAGGACGCAGGGAAGGAGGGGAGGAAGTGGGAGGAGAGCTGATGCATTGTAGGAGATTAGAGTCAATGTCATGAGACAGAGTGTATGTAAACTGCTGTATGGAAAATGAATTTGCTCTGTAAACTTTCACTCAAATCACAGTAAAAATTTTTTAAAAAAAGACAAACAGTACACAGCCTGTTTTAAGAACAGGAGGAAGCTGCTTGTTTAATCTAGGCATCATTACAAGAGTTAAGATTCCTGAATAATATGTGTATATTTACACATGTACGTTTACTTAAAGTCCTTTCTATGACATAGACAAAAAAGATAATTTCAGTGCAAAATTATAACCATAAATACATAAATAAACAGACACACACACTGTGATGGTTATGTTTGTATGTCAACTTGGCTAGACCTGGTTGAGTGGCTGGGCAGCTGGATGTAGTATTCCCCATGATGAGACTGGTAATCAACTCCATGGTGGAATCTACTGTGAGTAGCTAAGTAGCTGCCTTTGGGTATGTGGTCTGCTTCCTGTATATAGGTAGAAGCTTTGAGAATGGTCTCTAGCCTAGGGCACGCTTGGACCATGCATGTAGCCATGTCATTGCTCAGCAGCCTGCTATGCTCTGCTGACCTTGGGACTTACAATGACTTAAGTCAATGGCCTGCCATGTGGTAACATCGGGACTGGGCCTTTTTACTTGGCAACCTTGGAGTTTCTCAGCCTCAGCAGCCAGCAGCTGTCTGAGTGAAGAAACACCATGAGCTCCAGTGGGCTGGGAGCAGGAGGCAGAGCTGGACCCTAAGGTTGAGGGGCTTTTACCCAGTCCCTAGAGCCTGGCACTCTGAACTTGGACTTAAAGCCTCCAAATTGTGAGAGAATAAACTCTTGTTTGTTAAGACCATCGCATTTGTGGTATATTTCTTCTCAGAGTGGCACCAGGTAACCAGAACACACACAATACGGATTGTCTTTATAAAAGTATACATATTTGTTAAAACTCAATAAACTCTTAAAATGGGAGAACAGTACTGCATGTCTATTATACCCCAATAAAGTTGATTTAAAAAACAGCACTTTGTTGAACTCATTTTTAAAGCCTAAACATTATCACCTTCTTTAAAATGAAAATATACATTTCTGTTCATTTAGTAAAATAATTTGTGCCTAAGGCACTTGACTGCTAACCAGAAGGCTGGAGGTTCAAATCCACCAGCCACTCCTTGGAAGGAAGATGGGGCAATCTACTGTAGTGATACCACCTTGGAAATTCAAGGAGGGGTCGCTATGAGTCAGGTCTGACTTGATGGCACATAACAACAACAACAATACTGTTCATGCCTACAAATATTAAATATCTTTGTTTCTACAAAAAATAAAAGTATGTGTTATGTTGCTATAGTAGTATACTCAGTAAACTCACTAAAAAGATTTTTTTATTCTCAAAATTCTAAGAAATGATGTGTGCTTTTTATTAAAAGGACAATTATTAGAAACCTCATACCCTTTTCCAGTTACATAACAGGAGGGAAAAATAGATTTACTTACCCGCTTCATTTTTACAATTGTTCCGTAAGCTTTCAAAGGTTCAACTACTTTGGCTTCAAGTCTTTCAACCTATTGAAAATTATTATAAAGTATAACTGAAAAGAAACATAGACATAACAAAATTTTAATTCTGAAATACTTGTGCTGTTTCACTAGAACATAATTGCTACACAAATAAATATTTAGAAATTTTTAAGTTAAAATGCTACTGTTTCACTTATCTTTATAACTAAAAGATTATCACTAGGAATGGACAGGACTGTAATTCTAAACTCAAGCACATTAAACAATGGTTAATCTGTATAGTAACAGGGAAAGGATAAAAGTACCTGGTATGCAACATGATTAGAAAATGGCTTGGTTTCCAAGACACTCATCCCTGCCAAACCATTGTCTTTGTATGACTTTTCACCCTTAACGTAGTGGCTTTTGGGGCAAGTTTTGAGACATCTCAAGTTTTAATACAGCTGCCATTTTTAGTGTATTAGCACAGTGTTGGATACTTAATATACATTATTTCTGAAATGCAATTGCCCGCTTTCCAGATAAGAAAACTGAAGCTGAAAGATACAGCATATTAGAAATATGCCTAAGGAAAAAAAAAGCCTAGGAAACACTACTATTAGCTGCAATTTTTCTGAGACATCATTTGTGAGTTAGCAAAGGTGAGAGAAGAAGAGAAAAGGGTCTGTGATGCCGGACTGTCAAGACTGTGCGGCTCATCACCCCTCTCCCTCTAGCAGACGATGATTCTTTTTTATTTAGAGGTAAACAGTTTTTCTTAAACATTAGTTTTTAATCACATTTTGACTAATTATTTCTCTTACTAATACCAGGGGAAGGCAATGAAGAAACAGATTTTTAAAAAAGACAAGTATGTAGCATAGCACATAAGAAAAATAACTCTTAGACATTAATTTTTTTTCCCTCAGGATACATAAGACGACACTTAATTGTTTAAAATGAATACACATTATTTTTATAACAGGGATAAAACTTTTTTGGATGGTGTTTATATAATCAGTGAACACATTCCATTTCATATTGATTTTTCCTCATTTCCTATAACCAAAATGTATGTCAGTGTTTCATTTTCAAAGATTTTAGGAAAACTGAAAAAAACTCAAGTCCTCATCAATCATTTAAGAACCCTAGAATCAAAACCATGAATATTCAGGATAGCTAGTCTATACCATTTCTAATAATCTATAGACTCAAATCTAACAATCCATAGATTCAGTAGAAGGGTTATCTGCTCTGTTCTCCTTTTTGTGGCCTACCTTTTGTTCATTTCATTGTTCATTAGCACTTCCACCATGTGGTAAGCAAGGGAGATAAAAGGAGGACAACGTAAATCAATTTACTTTGCTATTTGGTAAACAGCATAAAGGTTTTCTAGAAAAGGGCATTGAAATTATTGGCTAAAATAAGATGTTAGGACTATCTGAATATAAATTATTTTTGAAACATTAAGTAAACAGTTATGTATAACTGAGAGTGGCTTGTTTATTACAGAAGAAATGTCCTATGAAAAAAACTCAACATTTCCCCCAAAAAGCACCCCAAATGTAATTAATTATTTCCTAAATTTCTGAGTTCCTCTAGTTCCTAGTCTAATTTTGTATGGATAGCAATTGTAGATTCACAGACAATTACTCTCATTTTCCTTATTTTTGATAATAGAAATGTTTTAGTTTTAAAAACAGGACAAAAAAGCAAATGTAAAAAATACACATGTACACACACACAAAAGCAAAGCAGTTCTAAAGGGAAAACTTCTGGTAAATTAATCTGTGTTTTGAAACCTAAATAAATGTAACAAAATTTTTATGAAGTATTTAAGGAAAATAAAAGGCTTTTACAAAGATAACAATTACACCACCACATTCTCTCCATCCACATCCCCCAAAAAGGGGATGGGGAGAGCAAACCCACAAATAAGGTCTCACTAATTACTGGGGTAGGAGTGCTGATAGCATAGTGCCTAAGGCACTTGACTGCTAACCAGAAGGCTGGCAGTTCAAACCCACCAGCCACTCCTCAGAAGGAAGGTTGGGCAATCTACTTCGTAGTGATACTGCCTTGGCAACCCAAGGAGGGGTCGCTACGAGTCAGGTCCGACTTGACAGCACACAACAACAACAACAACAATTACTGGGCTAACCAGCTCTGATGGTACAGTGGGTAAGGCATTTGGCTGCTAACCAGAAGCTCAGAGGTTCAAACTCACCATCTGCTCTGTGGGAAGAAGATGGGGCAATGTACTTCTGTAAAGATTTACAGCCTCAGAAACCCTATGGGGGTTCGCTATGAGTTGGAATTGACTTGATGGCAGTGGGTTAACTAATGGGGTGGTAGTTTCTCACAAGAGAAAGATGTAGCAGTCTGCTTCTGTAAATATTTACAGCCTTGGGAATCCTACGGGGCCGCTGGACTCTGTCCTACAGGGTTGCTATAAGTTGGAGTTGATGGTAATGGGTCTGGTTTGGTAACTACTGGATGGTACAAATGGTTAACACAAAGGTTAATGAGAAAGGCTGGCAGTCTGAGTCCACTCAGAAGTGCCTAAGAAGAAAGGCCTGGCAATTTACACAAAAATAGCAACCATTGAACACCCCATGGAGCAGAGTTCTACTCCCACACACAGGGGGTCAACATGCACATGAATCTAGTAAGGAGCAACTGATCAATTACCGGTTTGCATTCATGCTTTTTTCTTTTTTCGTCAATGAAACACATCAAATTCCAGAGCATGGAAGCACCTTGCTTATTTTATTATTTATTCACACACTGTCCCCAGTACCTCGCTTCTCCATTCCCATTTTCAAATATACTCAGGTGCACACCAGACAGAAGTCATACTTCTTTTCTTTCCCATAGATACTAAGCTTACTATTCTTACTATTTATTTCCTGAAAATGGCCACCCCTTGGCCAAAAACTGGCACATGAAGTAGGGAAATTCACAACTTCAAGAGACTCTAAAGTTTGGTTCGAAAATGGTAAAATAAATCACAGAAAGATTCCCTTTAATAGAGTCACACCGAAAGACATGAAAATCTGTACGTTTATCATCAACTGTGTGTTCACCACTGCAGTTAGGTAGATACCACGTGAAAGTCTTCGGGGCGCCTTCATTCACTACTTCACGACTCATTCATAATACTGAGCTGTCACCTCACTCCATACCTCTGCTTGTCGATAATCCTGAAGTTTGGCAAATTCATCAGCAAAGTTTTTCAGGCCTTGCTTTAAATTTGGAGTCTCTGTAGAGGCATACACGTTGATTTCATTCACCAGGAGGTCTGCTTTGTCTCGCAGTCTGGCAGTTTTCCGTACATAAGCAGCAAAGATTTGGCACAGCTCTCCAAAATGCTTCTCTACATTTGTGACAGCATCTTGCAGTTGTCTGGTTTGAGCGTCCCTAGAGAAAAAGGTGACACAAAAAGCAAAACATTCTTGTTAGAGATGAGAGAGCTTCAGCAATACCTTAATTTAATATGCAAACATTCCCGGGGCATTTTGCAGCTTCGAAGATGCAAACTCATCAACAATCTATCTCTCTGGGAGGATTCTCCCCGCAATTTCGCGAATAACTGTCCCTTTCCCCTCTTGCAGGACCCCATTCCCACCCTGGGCTCAATATCAATCCCGACTCGCATGGTACAAAAACAGGCCTGTCCCGGCGAGCTGCGCAATTGCAGGGTGCAGGGTGCAGGCCGCGAAAGCTGCTCCGCGTTACGCCGCCTGGGCGCCGGACGAGGCGCCGACAGCCGGCTGCTCCCAGTCTTCTGCACAGCCCGTAGCAGCACGGATATAAGAGCCTGGGGAGCGCGGGTGGGTGGCTACCCACCAGCCTCCGGGCTCCCTTCAGCTACCGGGATACCCTCCGGCCCGGGGAAGTAGGCCCCAGAGCACAATGGATAGGTCCAGCCTTCCGCCTGAACCGGAATTCCGCGGAAAGGTTCCTGGAGAGACGCTTCACATCCCCTACTCCAGCCTTTGCGTGTCGGGGACCTGCACAGCGGGGACCGGGGCTGTTACCGGTTTTCCAGGGTGCGCCTCAACATCTTGCCCTGGGCTCGGCCGAAGACCCTGGGGGGGGCTACCCAACGACAGGGCTCCGAGGCGTCCGGGCGCGCGCTGGAGCGCGAGCCGACGTCGCCGGCAGCTGGAGTGCCCGCCTCGCGCGCCGCTGCGCAGACCCAGTTGTTTCTATGGAAACACAGCGCGCGTCCCCGCGGCCCGGGCAGCCTTCTGCCCCTGCGGTCAAAGCTGGAGTCACCGGGAGCCACCCCCGCAACTTCCTCCTGGAGTTTCTCGCGCGCCAAGCGGAAGGGGGCGGTGGCCTTTCGTCCTCCTTCGGAGCCGACTTTACCAAACACCCGATCTCCAACTCTTTCCAGACTAGGCAGGAGAAAAGGGACTAGCAATCAATTTTCTTTTCCCCCCACTGTTCTCCAATCAATTCCCACTCATACTGATGCTGTAGGACAGATTAGAATTGCCCCTTAGGTTTCCTAAGGCTGTAAATCTTTACAGAAGACTGTCACATCTCTATTCCGTTGATGGGTTCCAACTACTGACCTTTTGGTTAACAGCTCAGCGCTTTAAACACTGTGCCACCAAGGCTCCTTCTCAAGCAATAGCCAAGAAGAAAACGTGAAACCCACCAGCCACTCCTTGGAAGGAAGGTTGGGCAATCCTACTTCCGTAGTGATACTGCCTCGGAAACCCAAGGAGGGGTCGCTATGAGTCGGGGCCGACTTGACGGCACATAACAACAACAACAACAAAGGCACGTCCACCCAGTCTTCGTTTATGCTACATTTAATCTTACATAAACATCTGTCAAATTGTCTTTGTGTTAAATCTGAAAATGTGGGCTCTTGGACCTTGCATCTGGAAGGAGCAGTGCTTATGTTTAACTTTATTTAACAAGTATTTATTGACTTCCTACTTTGTGTAACAGATCGTGTTAGACGCTGGGAATGATGCAAAGATAAAAAGAAAGTATTCCTATTCTGAGGAGCCTTAGAATTTAGTGAGGAGTTGTTAGTTGCCACGGAGTTTGCTCCAGCTCATCATGACCTGGATGGTGTACAACAGAACCAGACAGTTCCCAGTCCTGGGCCATCTTCCCAATTCTTAGTATGCGGATCTATCCTTATGGCCACTGTGTATTTTGAGTGTCTTCCAACCTATGGTCTCATCTTCCAGCACTATACCAAAAAACCCACTGCCATCAAGTTGATTCTGACTCATAGTGACCCCCACAGGGTTGCCAAGGCTGTACATCTTTACAGAAGTAGATTGTCTCATCTTCCTCCCACAGAGTGGCTGGTAGGTTTGAACTGCTGATCTTCTGGTTAGCAGCCAAATGCCTGACCCACTGCACTACTGGAGCACCTTCCAGCACTATATAGGGTGATATTCTGTTGTGATACATAGGGTTTTTTTGGAAATAGGCCACCAGTCCTTCCTAATCCATCTTAGTCTGGAAGCTTTGCTGAAACCTTTATAGCATCATAGCAATATGAAAGCCTCCACAAAGAGACAAGTGGCGGCTGCACCTGAGGTGTGGGATTCGAACCTGCACCTCCCGTGCAGAAGGCAAGCTACTTCACCGCTGAACTCCTGAGATAAACAGGAGACATTTCTTTCTCCTTTGAACATCCTTTCAGCCCTCTTGGCCTTCACCTGTGCTTCTCTTCCAAGTAAATACCTATTTACTTTTAGGACTAAATTAAAGTTTAAATTGTCTCAAGTAAGCTTCCTAGGCCCCTCCCATCTTTCTTTCGTCAAGGCAGCACCAGGGGACCCTTCCTGTCTTGTATACTTGTTTTGTACTATTGTTGCCTGTGTACTAGACTCTGAGCTTTTGTTGGCAGAGAAAACATGGTATTGGTTTTTCACTCCTCAGGGCCTAGTGCTGTTTAATAAAAGTTTTTTTTTTTTTTTTAAAAAAAAAAGCAAATGGATGCCTCAGTCCTTTGTTACTTCTTTTGTGGAATTCACCTCATTCTCTCCTGTTATAATGTGTATCTATCCCCATCCATTGCTTGTTATTAACATTAACTCCCCAAAAGAATGCACAACACTCCAAGACTTTGGGGAATGTTATCATTAAAAATACCCCTGCCAATCAACCTTACTAATTTCCCAAAAATGCTCCTTCTTGTTTTCCCATGCACCTTACTTTGAAATAACAGATGGCAGATGTTTAGTCTAAAAGTTTCTCTTTCCCAAGACCTAAATTTCTAAGTGTTTGTGGATTCCCCATGACTCATTTTTCTGTGCCACTATATAACTTTTAAAGTACATTCTTCTATCAAGAGATTGTAAATGGCATATAAGCAAAACCCTGCTTCTATGATAGCTGCAGCAGTTTCTTTAAAACTGCCCATTTGCAAATCTCTCTCTCTTAGTAAATAATTGATCTCTTTAATTGTCAAAATCTTATTTAACACAGATATTGTGGTGGGCTCTGAGCATGCATTGGTGGTAAGCAGAAAGAACAGTCTT